AACAACAAGATAGTGGATACCGTAAACATCACATAAACCTACCCACATGCTGGCTACCCAATCATGCTTTAGATCCTACCCGACATGATACCCACATGTTTTGTCATTCATAAAAGATCCTAACCGCATGGTATCTAATTCACATGTTTTGTGCGAAAATATAAAACCTAACCGCATGCTTTTCTAGTTCTCATACTTATGCAAAAATAAATTCGAGGAAAAGGTTAGAATGAGTTTCCCCTTCGTGTGCAGACAGAGATTCAACATAAGATGGGCAGTTTCAGTATTTCTAAAAGGGTCCTCGAATTATCCTTTGCTGGTGCCCCCTTGGCTTGCCAGACCCTCGATCCTCGCCATTATAGGCTTAAACGGATCAAGTTCAATTCGAGAGGATACATTTCCCTATGTCCATGCGAGGAAACTCAATGTTTCACTCGTAAACATAAGGCATGTACCCAGAGGTTACTTGCTAAAGCCCATGCGGAGAAAGTAATTTTTCTCACGTAAGCGTAGCGTTCACCCCTACCTAACGGGACAGAGCACAGTAAGAAGGCTCTAAATATCGAAACGGTTGTAACGACAGTGAGGGGAAACCCATAATTTTGCCTCGTCCAAGAAAAACAATAGACTAAACGAAGGTCAGAAAACTGAAACATGTAGAACACACATTAGTACAACTATTATTCATCACCAATTACAAATTAAGATGTAATAAAACAATTCAAACAAACAAGGGATCAAAGACCAAATTAAAGCAAACTTATAAATTTCGTTTGCAAAGATAATTAATTAATCGACGATCGGCCTGACTCTCTAAAAAAAATCCCCAGCGGAGTCGCCAAGTTGTCGAAACAATTTTTAACGGGAGCGGGGGCGAGATTTTGGAAAACCGCATCATCTTTAGTTATTCTCTTTTCAATTAATTTTAATTAAAACAATGCAATTTTAGAAAACCTCTTGTTTCAAAAAATTGGAATTCCTTTTACGATAAAAACATATGGTTCGAGGAGTCGCCACCAATCTTTGATTAGGGTGTGATTGGGCACCCACAAACATTTTGTCATTTTAAATAAAAATTAATTTTAATTAAAACGACAAATTTACGATCTACGTTACCAAAATCCAAGTTCGGGAGTCGGTTACGTGTGGGGAAGGATTAGCACCCCCATAATGCCCTAAATCGGTACCTAGTCGATTAATTAATGTCTTTGCAGCAAATTTCATAAGTTCAAGTTTAATTTGATTAATAATCCCTTTAAACAACAAAAATGCAAATTGTAACATTGAAAAGCACAAAATATGTAAAATTACCAAGTCATTAGAAAGATAAAGGTTATTCGATTATTTAAAAATATCGAGACTAGATCTTTAGGTGAGTTCTAATGATCTTTTCTCAAAATTTAAATAGCCGAATATTTCTTTCTTTCATTCCCAAATTTTAAAGTAATTAATCCAAATTTAATTAGGCATTACTGAGGGATACAATTTTAATTTAAAATTGCCAAAACAACTCTTAGTAAGTTAGGAGAAGCCATTCCGACAATTTTAAAATTAAAAAATATTACCCTTAATCAAAAAAAAACATAACATACCAAACTATGAAAAACTATACATGTTACACTAATAACCAAATCACCTTAAACTGAATTTTTAAATCTAAAATATAAACAAAATAACAATTGAAATGAACATATGAGTAAACAATGAAACTGAAATAAAGCAACATTAACATGAAAGACTAAAATCAGAATAAAATCTAAACACATAAACATGATTAAAACGAAACATACGAAAATTAAAATTAAAATGTCTAAAAAATAGAAATTAAATACAATACCACATGACTGAAATTAAATACGCAAAAAAAACATGGAAACAAAACCAGAAATGCAAGAAACATGCAAACGTTAATTTATGGACTCAAACGAAACATGCAACAATTCATAGGTTAAATGTCTAAAATTAAAACGCATAAAATAAGGTGCAAAATTGAAACCATGGAACATTCTGTTTAGGTACTAAAATGCATGAAACCTGAAATTCGAATGTCTCCTCCAATAGATAACCCCTGCGTGAAATGAGACCCCTAGTTCTCTTAAACTCTGCCGTTTTGACACAGGCATATATAATTTTTGGGTAAAAGCTACCCTAATTCATTTCATTTCCCCCCAGCCGCAACCACTTCTTCTCCCACAAGACGCCGCTCTCTCATCTCTACCCTCATTATCTCTTCCTCAACACAACAAACCAAAAGCTAAAAAACAACCATGGCCAACACTCTTTCGGTCGAAACCCTCATCCCAAGGCCCCCATCATCACATGCAAGCTTAAGGATTCTAACCGAGCAACGATCACACAGGGACCGGTAACAACTCGACAAAGGTAAAAGCTTTACTCTCTTCACTGTTATTCTTGAAAAGCTTTGCTTTGTGCGGTTGGGGTTTGTTTCTAATGATAGTTTTGGATGTCATTTCACTTAGAGCTCTTCATTTTTTAGAATGATTATAAAAACGAGAAAAAAACTTATGAAGAAATCGGGAAAACAACCTTAAAATGATTTATAGCCTTTCATACTCTACAAAATCATGGAAGGATTCCCCGTTTACATTGCTTTCGAATACGGGGGAAATCCCTCTCCAGTTACACTGCTTTTTTCGTTCCAAAATCCCTCCCCCCAAAACTACTTTCTTGCTTCATCCCCTTCCAATGTAATGGTTCCTCTTCCTTGTCCTTTGTGTTCTGTTGCCTTGGTTTCTGTATTGCAGGCGTGGGTGGTAATGCCGATGGGTTGTCAGGCCGTGCTCCACGCCGAGTTGGAAATGGCACCAGTTTTGTTATTATGCTGCAGCAAGCATGGGTACGAGTCTTCACGTGGTTCACGAGATGTTGTTGGGGTTTTCGAGGTTGTAAGTGGAGTGATAGGCACAAACTGATGCAGTGGGAGTGTTGCTTCACATTGATGTGGGCGCTCGGTTATGCGTTTCACGTGGGACACACTTAGGCGCTGTGGAGTATGGGCAGTAGCATGGGCAGCCGGGCCATGTCTCAGTCTTCACGGCGTGGTGCTTGGCAGTAGCTTGGGCTTCCTTGGGAGGCATGATCTGCTGCAGTGGATGAGTGCTTCATATTGGGTGCACGTGGGAGGAGTCTGTTGTTGGGTGTCTCCTTCACGTGGGATACACGATCTATTGGAAGCATATGGGTAGCTGCAACCGGATCTGGGCTATAATTGGATTGAACTTGGGCATGTTCTTGAGCTCCGGGTTAGGTTGCTTGTAATTAGGCCCGATTTGGGCTTGTTTTGTAAATGGACCTTAGACACTTACATTTGGATTTTGGATTATACTTAGGCTTCGATTTATATCTTGAATTCCAACGTGTACAATTCCAATTCAATTAAACACTTCAAGCTTCCACGATCCATCACTTAAATTAGTTCCTCGTCGGTCACAAATTCCTTCAAATTAAATCTCGTTAATCTTCAAATGGATTTAAATGACCCGGACAAAATTAGGGTATTACACTAGGACTTCACAGAAAGATTTAATGTCATTATCTAGTTGAGGAATTGTCGAAAAGATGTTTTACTGCATAGGTTTAACCATAATGTTTAACAAAGATTTTGTAAGGTTGAGGGATTAACTTTCAGTGTTTAGGAAGTTGAGGGATGAAATTCACAATTAAGCCATAAGCAAGAGGGATTAATCATTTTGTTGTTAAAGATTAAAAACAACTCATATTTATTTCTATGCAACAATTGAGTGTCCCATTTAAACCACCTTGAATTTATTTTTTTATAATTTAAATTTAATATTATGAATTAAAAATATTAAAATAACCATAAAAGGATTTTAGTAGAATTATAAACATTGAGGTATGAGTCTTTAAGTATATACATATGTTTGAGTTATTTTTTTAATAATATGATGTGATTATCATGTAATATTTATTTAAAATCTTTTTTAGTTATTGACAATGTACATGCACTTCATAGACGTATTTAGAATTTCAATTGTTAAAAAATATAGAACAATGACAATTTGGTAAAATATACATTCCAATAATTTTTTATTTCTTCAACCAAACACTGTAATCTTACATTCATGCCAAACCAACCAAACAAAGTAATGTAACATTCTCAGTAATCTTATTTCATTGTAATCTTTTATTCTCACTGGTAATCTTACATTCCGCGAACCAAACGCACCCTAAAGGAAAGATTAGTATTAATATGTAATATATATATATATATATACAGACACGCACGATTAAAACTAATATAACGATATATGTACTTCTTGTGTTCCAATAAGCTTTTTGAATTCTAAACGTGAGCAAATTGTAATAAAAAATTAGGATTAACTACACGTTTAGTATCTAAACTATTACTGTTACTCTGTTTTGGTATTTAAGCTTTATTTTTTTCAAAATCATACCTAACATTTAGTTTAAGTTTCAATTTGGTACCTTATCGTTAAAATATTAACAGAACTACTGATTTGATATTTTTTTTTTCAATGATGACATAGCATTACTTTATAGTAACGCGTCCACATTACCATTAAGTTTTTAACGGCGAGGTAGCAAATTAAAACTTAAACTAAATGTTAGATATGATTTTAAATAGAAAAAAATAAAATTTAGGTACCAAAGAAGAACAAAGATAATAGTTTAGGTATTAAATGTATAATTTATCTTGCCGGTTGAAAGCTTGGAGTTGAGCTGCTACATGAAAAGTTCATGCACCTGCTGTGAACATAAATCATTACATCCATCTGAATTGTATTTAAATATACATTTTCCCACGTTTTATTCGAGCACATTATATTTCCTATAAATTATGGATCTAGTGGATATACCTTTTGAAAAGTATGAAATTATATTAGTATGATGACTCTTTTGACTTTCTTGTACAGCCCAACTTTTGCTTTTTCTGTACTAATGTATTCATGTATACCCCCTATAAATACTGTTGTTTTGAGCTTATAATCTGTTATTTCCATCTCCATTATAGAGCTAACAGCCCAACTTTGTTAAGCTTTGAGAGAGAAAATAATGGGGAGAGCTCCATGCTGTGAGAAAATGGGACTGAAGAAAGGTCCTTGGACACCAGAAGAAGATCAGATTCTCATCAATTACATTAATCTCTACGGCCGTAGCAACTGGCGAGCACTCCCCAAACAAGCTGGTATATATTTACTTTTACTTGGTTTTAATCTCCATCAATTACTAGTTTTTGATCTTTTGCTGATGTTATCCTCTGTTATTCTTTTCGTTTTTTTTACCAGGTTTATTGAGGTGTGGAAAGAGTTGCAGGCTACGGTGGATAAACTATTTGAGGCCAGACATTAAACGAGGGAATTTCACCAGGGAAGAAGAAGATACCATTATCAACATACATGAAACGCTTGGTAATAGGTGAGCGTTTTATATATTGATTTGCATATTCCAAGTTTCATCTTTTAGTTCATATCAATTTTTACTTGTGCAGATGATTGATCCTATTGAACTATTTCTAGTTTGAAGATGCTGTTTATTCACAGATCTGCATTGGTTTCATAACCATTTTGTAATTAATTAGGTTATAGATATAATCATAAAAACATGTGCCACTGAGAAGATTCCGTGTTGAGAATTGTCGCCATGTTTCTTACAAACAATAAAAAAATAAATACAGGTCGATTCTGGTTTTCTTATATATTTGTTTCTTATTACAGATGGTCGGCAATCGCGGCGAGATTACCGGGACGAACAGATAACGAAATAAAAAATGTGTGGCACACCCACTTGAAGAAGAGGCTGAAACCGAACCATGGTTCCAATGACAACAAACGACAAACCAAACCCAACGTCGATTCATCCAAAGACATCAAGCAAGAACAACAACAACCACCCATGGATTTTCGAACCGCCGTTGTAACTGCCGCAGATACGCCAGGTTCCACACCGGAATCCATCAGAGAGTTTTCCACAGTAACCACAAGCGAAAACAACAGCAACACGTGCACGACCAAGATTGAAACACATGAAGATCATGTGTCTGAAATCGATGAGAACTTCTGGTCGGAAGTATTGTCGGCCGACAATTCAGGCATGGCCCTTGATTTTCAAATACTCAGTTCGGACACGCAACTTCATCATCAGTACTTTCTAAGCTCACAATTACTAAAGTTGGAACCGGTCAATGACTATGGTTCAAATATATATGATATGGATACTAACATGGATTTCTGGTATAATCTTTTTGCTAGAGATGGGGATTTATCAGAATTTTGAGTGGCTAGTTTAGTTACTGTAATTAACTTATGGATCTCGTTAATTAGTTGTAACCCTTTTGTTTCTTTATTTGTTTTCGAAATAAATTTTATTTCATAACAAATATAATTTGATAATTCTTAAATTAACGATATTTTTAGTGTGAAAATTCATCTTTTTATGTTATAGTCATTGTACCCGCAATCAGTTTGTTTAGTGAGATAAGATATTATTTGTTTCTTTATTTGTTTTCGAAATAAATTTATTTCATAACAAATATAATTTGATAATTCTTAAATTAACGATATTTTTAGTGTGAAAATTCATCTTTTTATGTTATAGTCATTGTACCCGCAATCAGTTTGTTTAGTGAGATAAGATATTATATTCTTTAAAATAAATTATGAGTTCGAATTTTAATATTTACAAATAAAGTAAACTAGATTGAGAATGTCGTCTTGGAGACTATGGCAGAAGTGGTGCTCAATGTGCAAGGTAAATTTTATCTGCCCTGGTAATGTGAAGGGTTTTCTAGTAGCTTGGGACGATCAGCCGATCAAATTAAATGACCATTTAAGCCCGCTTGGAAGTTATTTTCTTTGGGATTGTGTGGAGTATTTGGCTTTTCAGGAATGAGGTTCTATTCAACAAGAAATTAGGCTATGAGAACTATATATTTGAGATGTCATGCTTAAGAATTGGTCACTGGTGTAATAGCAAATGGCCCGAATTGTTTCCATCTGCGAATGAATTTTCAAGAGTTTTTTCAATTTTGAACTAAATTGAATTTAAAAGATTATGTGGCAGCAATGAGTCTAGTGCATCCTTCATATGTGTTGTGCTTATGGCAAGGTGCGTGTAATCATTGTTTGTGTTGATTGTAGGAGACTAAACTTGTACAACTAATGTGATTGTTGAGGATTCTATTGTGCAATGTGTTGTTATAAGTCTAGTGTTTTGTGGATCAGAGTAAATCCCTTTTGGAGTTTTTGTTGATGTTGCAGGGGAGTGATGTTAGCTTTATCTTAGCTCTCGATGTTACCATGGTCTTCGATGCTTGTTTTTCCTTATGCTTGAATCTGGTGCAGCGTTAATTGGCCTTTGATGCTTACTGTTGTTGGTTTTTGCATTTGATGGTTGTTTCCTCCTTAATGTTGTCACTTTGGAGCTTCTTTATATCGATGCCATGTTGGCTGCTTTGTTTTGTGGGTGTGAAGTCAAGGTTTATATTTTGGTTTGTTACCTGTTATGCTGGTGAATGAGTGTGAATGATTTTTGGTTCATTGTCATGGTTTGTTTTTGGGGTTTTGCCTCAAGTGCAGTTTAGTGAGGCTGACCTATTTGATTGTAGCTATGTAAACTATATGTGGATGGTGCAAACTCGTGACAACTCTTGGTGTACTCTTTTTCTTCTATCTAGGAATAAGGAGGGTTTTTAACGAGGCCCAAGATGTTGTTCTGTTTTGTATTTGCATATAATCAAATACAAAACCTTTTTTTCAATGTTGAGAAATACGAGAAATAAGAAAGCAATTATATCTTCATTTTTCATCGTTTAAGTCTGTAACACTCCTAACCCGTACCCGATCCGGATACGAATCCGAGGTGTCACATTGACTTTTCAAATCATAGATAATTAACAAATAAGAACAATTTAAAATTTTTACTCATAAATATAAAAGGTGAAAACCCTTAATTTAAAATAAGATAGTAAAATTCACATTAATATTTGCATAAGTACAAAAGTAGGAGTTTACAAAACATAGATCAAAGCATTTCAAATTAAACGTGTAGTACATGCCAACGATTTACAAACTTTCCAAAAATAAAACCTACATTCAATTTGTCGTGATCTGATCTTCACTGGAGTATGCTACCCTCAACACATCAACCTTCAGATTTCTTCAAACCTACGCGTGAGGAAATCACACATTAAGTCGATGACTTAGTGAGGCAAAACTAAAGAGTACTAAATTTTATATATGAAATCTTTATTTATTTCATAAAACATTCCATAAGAATTTCAAAGGATTTCCATAAAAAGAATGTATTTTATTATACATTATTAGTTTTATAACTTATTTCCAAATGCCCAACGTATACTACTGAGAACTCTAGGTATTTGAGTACATTGAGTTTGTGCACTAATGTTGTCACCACAACTCGTAATTTGCACCGAAGTGCCACATAATTATCCTGAAGGACCACATAGACCCTCAATTCTTGGCATGCCAATTATACCTCTAATCCTCATACATATACCTTGGGCTTTTAACCACATAAGTATTATAATTCATTATTCGAAGTATCTCTTATTCACATATACACTTTCACATTTCAGATACACATGTTCAAAGGTCACATTTCCATAATCATATACACATAATCATAAAACATAGCTTACATAATATAATGTGAATAAAACATTGTAAAATATAACATAAAAGAAAGTGAAAGGTTTTCGATCGAAAATATTGAGGTTGGCTTATCGTAAACCTTCCTCAATTCTAATACAAAACGAAGAAGTTTCACTCAACTTTGCCTCACTGAAGTCTTAAATTGAAACCTTAACGCTTTTGGATCAATACTTATAACGTCGAGTTAACCGAAGTTAAATTTGTTCAATGTCTACACCAAACAATCAAAATAAATACCATAATTCATATCACTTATATCCAATCATAATAACTTAAACTGAAAGAAATGCTTAATTTCTTATTTCATGTTCAATAGTATCGATACTCCCACTACAGTACTGATACTTCCCTTCTATGGTATCGATACCCCTTTTTGTACGGATACCATTTTGATATTTTGGAAATTTGTCTCGGAAATGGTATTGATACCATACCATTAGTATCGATACTCCCAACTCAGTATCGATACTTTACTCAACCAGTACCGATACTACTCTTCAAATTCAACTGATTTTGCCTTGAAGTATCGGTACTGTTCTTCCAGTACTGATACTCCATGCCCAGAATTGTCATTTTCAATTCAAAAATAAACCAAAATCTTCCCAACTCTCTTACTTTTATCCCTCATTAAGCCTTTAAACTCAAACTTATGCATCCAAACCAACCTGTCTTCATTTACGACACCCTAACATACAAAATCTCACTATAACACTTACATATAAAAATCATACCATGTTTTCAATCATACTCTTAATCCACTCTAAACTTTCTATCTCCTTCAATAGCCCATTGACAAGTCAAATTTAGCCATAAAATTATAAAAACTACACCATATCAAAAATTAATTTCAAAACCCATTTTAAAAATATATCCCTAATTAATTTCTCTTATTGTTTTAATCCTATACAAGTTTTCCTTAAGCTTATATAACACCCAAAATTTCAATACCAAACCAAAAATTGAAGGAATCAAAAAATTTACAAAAACTTACATTTGGTAGTGGAGTTCACGGGCACGAGGAATAGAGCAAGAATTGGATCCAAACTTTTCTCCTTATCCACGTGCTTATCTCCTAATAAAGGAGATAATTATCCTTTAAAATGAAAAGACCATAATGCCCTTTCCACTAATCCAAATTAGCTATCAAGCCCTACACCAAAAATTCCACCATAAATCCTTGAATTTTTAACTATTCTAATTCAACCACTGAGTTTCAAATTCTTACATTCTAGTCACTGACCCGATGATTGGGATGTTACAAAGTCTGCTGAGTTACATTGCTTTTATAATACTCAATTGCTGAATCAAGAAGTAATTGAAAAATGTTATATCCAACAGTCTTAACCGTGCTGAGCGAACAACCTAACAACCCTAGGTTTAGCTCATTTACATCACAACACACCCTAGAGAACGTAAGTCTGCATGAGTTACACCATACACACACTTAGTCTTCCAACATTCTTCATGCTTCTTCTTCTCCTGCTTGCTTAAGTAAACACACATTCACTTTCTCACGAAATATTATGAACGCTACTTTGGATAATGGCTTTGTGAGCCCATATGCAAGTTAATGAGCAGCAGGAACATAGCTAACACACAACTGATTCCCAGCTATTTCTCCCTCACAAAATGAACATTTAAATCCACATGTTTGGATTGAGCATGATGAACATGATTTTCACTTAAAGATATTTGTTGAGTTAATCAATCAACGAATATAGCCAAGAGGGGGTGAATTGGCAATTAAAATTTCGGTGGAAACTTTTGTAGAAAATTGAAAATAATTGCACAACGATTTAGAGTGGTTCGACTTTCTCAACCAAAGTCTATGTCCACTACCTTAGCTATCCATACTAATGATTTTCCACAAATTCACTAATTTGTCTTCTTTTGAGGACAAAGAGTAACCTTACAAATCCCTCAAGAATTACCCCAAATTCTTGAGAACACTCTCCCAAGAGAATAATACAAATTTTGCAAACTTACAGGAAAATCCTCACAAGGAAAGATGTTTGCACAATTCTAAAACAAAGAAGAACACTCAAGAATACAATTGAGCACAATAAGTGTTTTTGAAAGCAAGATGATATGAATGAATTCGGCTTGAATTGCTCAACTTGAGGTTTGATGCTTTCTCTTTGATTCTCTCTTGATTCTTATTGTTGATCAATGGTTCCCAAGCTTGTTTAAATACTCCTTCAATTGATTCTGAACGTTGGGGATGATTAGTGGAGTCAATATAGTCGTTTAAGTGTGAAAACAATTAATAAAATCAGTTAGGAGCGTATGTGCATCGATGCATAATCAAAGTTCATCAATGCATCAAGTGTAAAATTCAAATATTTTGACTGTTGGAACACTTAGTGCATCGGTGCACTAAGGGTGCGTGCATTGATGCATAAAATGCATTCGATGTTTTAAACAAGCCTGAGTGCATCGATGCATGGTCTGTGCATCGATGCATAAAATGCATTCAATGTTTTCATAAAAACCTGAGTGCATCGATGCATGTCAGTGCATCGATACATATAAAATGCATTCGAAATGGTGTGTGCATCGATGCATCAATGAGTGCATCGGTGCATCAATTCATAAATTTGATTTTTGGCTCGTTTTTGG